ATTATATTCAATGTCATTATATATATATATATATATATATATATATATATATATATATATATATATTTGATTATTTAACCTACACTAAAGGTACTAGTACCCAACTACTTATCATGGATACCTAAGAATTTGCCTTTATTTTAACTACTTAAAAAATAATGCAAACGGATAATTGTGATGCATTGATAATGTAAAAATTTTAAACTTGCATAACAAGTAATTTCATTTTTTATTTGTATTTGACATGTTTTTTTTTTGCTTATGAATTTCAAAATTATTTCAAAATTCAAATTTTAAAAATATTTCGAAAATGAGTATTTGAGTAAGACATGTAGTGTAATAAAAAATCTCAATTTTTTGTTAAAAAATATACCTTAAAAAAAAGGGTGAATAATTATATATATATATATATATATATATATATATATATATATATATATATATATATATATATATATATATATATATATATATATATATATATATATATATATATATATATATATATATATATATATATATATATATATATATATATATATATATATATTATTTAAGGGTGTACGCGGGTTGGGTTGGACCGGGTTCGCCTTAACCCGTTACCCAACCCGTTCAACTTTCAATGGGTTGAGTTTATCATCAAACCCGTAATTCTACTTTAAAAACCGACCCGAATCAACCCGGATATTTACGGGTTGGGTAAGGATGGGTTCACAGGTTGTGTATATAATAATTATTATTTTCAATTTAAAAAATCTATAACACAATTCAATATAATTTTGCATATTTCAAACAATTAAATTATTTACGTAGTGGAGACAAATCCTACATATAAAATAGAATAATTAAAAATATAACAATTAAAATTTTGAAATGTATTTTCTTTGTCATAAAAAATATTAAGATACATATACACCATTAATTATTTATATATTTTCATTAATATACCTTAATTTATAAAAATTTATTAGTTATTTTGATACTCAAATGTTATCCATTACAAATATATATCAACGTATATAAAACAAATATATAATTATAGCAACTTTAAAATTTATAAATAATAATATAATAATAATAATAATAATTAATTATGCCACGTTAACGGGTTGGGTCAACGGGTTCATGGATTTAGAAACTAAAACCCAATATCCGAACTAAATCTATACGGGTTGTTACGGATTGGGTCGAGTATACCCGTAAATGAATGGGTCCGGGTAATTAGTGGGTTAGTTCAATTTGGGTAGGCGGATTTGCGGGTCGACCCGCACCCATGAACACCCCTAATTTTATTTATTAAAGAGAAACGTGACAATCAAGTGTTTGTGAATCTCCAAGTTCGAAACCAATCTCATTCTCTGCGTTTCCGTTCCATCCCAAAAATCTCAATCAAACCCTAACCCTAAACCAAATTCCCAAATTCCTATCATTCTCAATTCAATTCAATCTCATCACCATGCTTCAATCCCCAGGCCACTCTCCGCTTCATCTCTCTTCACCATCTCCTTCAATTTCCGAATTTTCGATCCAAAACCCTAAAGATTCTGGTTCCAGTATTCAACCCCAGAAGAAACAGAGGAACCCAACGGTTCTCGATGAAGACACGTATGCCGAAGCATTGGAGAAGATAATCGAGCGTGATTACTTTCCTGACATCTCAAAGCTCCGTGATCGACTCGATTGGCTTGAAGCTATCAAAACCGGCGATCCTGTTCAAATTCGCGATGCCCAATTGAAAATCATCGAGCGTCGGCGTGGAGGAAAGGTAACCCCTTTGAATCCTCTCGATTCAAGAAATTCGCATACTCCGGGTTCTACTTTTGTCAGAAATTTCACTCCTTTAGATGAATTTGATGGTAAAACACCTATAACACCTGGTTATACTGCTTCTGTGGGAGATAAAGAGGAGGTTAGTGCGGTTGATACTTCACTTGGGCTTGATCAGTTTATGGGTAGGTATACAAGTGAGGATAATCATAGTTTTTCGAAGATTTTGGAGAGAGTGAATAGGAAGAGGAAAGAGAGGTTTGGGTATTTGAATGATAATATGAATGCTAATGCTATTGAGGATGAAAAGAGGGATAGAATAACTGATGGTTATGGTTCCTCTTATCAACCTCTTAGTACATTGGAAGGATGGAATTATACTGCTAAGAATTTGTTGATGTATCATCCTGCTGATCGGGGTGAGGTTCCTTTGACTGAGGAGGAAAGGGCTGTTAGAATTAAAGCCTCTACGAAGGAGATTGATCGGCCAAATACTAGGTTTCATGGTAAAATGGATTCTAGGCCGAAAGATGATGAAACTATTGAGGTGCTTTATACTCCTGTTGCGGGTGCTACTCCGGTTCCTATGTCTTTTAGAGATGGGGATAAATTGAAGAAGTATGATTTGGAGGATTTGAGGAAGACTCCCAATCCGTTTTATTTGGAGTCCGAGAAGAAAGCTGAGAATGGTTATAGCTATGTTAAGACACCATCTCCTGCGCCAGGAGCTGATGAGTCTCCTTTTATTACTTGGGGAGAAATTGAAGGGACACCACTGAGGTTGGACATGGAGGATACACCGATTGATATTGGTGGTAGTGCTGATGGACCTCATTATAGGATTCCTTCTGCTCCGGCCAGAGATGCAAAAGCACACTCACTTTCTAGGGAGGCTGCTCGTAATCTGAGGGAGAGGTCGAAGATGTTTCGTAAACCCCCGTTGGCATCACCAGCTAGAGGTGGAAGTGCTACTCCGAGCATGCGGACGCTTTCTCCTGCTGCTCAGAAGTTTGTCCGGAATGCGATTGCCAAGTCGTCATCAACTGTTGACGAGACACTCCGTGCAAGTTACCGTGGTTCTACTCCTGCTTTGGCTACTCCTACAAGAGTTAGAAGTGTATCAAGGCTTGGTAGAGACGAGAGCTTGGTTTCCAGGTCTCCATCTGTTAGAGAGGGCTCCAATCCTCCTTGGTGAATTGTTGTAACATATTTTGAATCATTTTTAAATGAATGTACTGTAAGTTTTTTTATCCTGGATGTTAAACTAAGCGCGGAATGTTAAACTAAAAGGTTTTTGATCCTAGCTACCAGTATGCAACACAGGATCTGACTATCTTTGATCCATTGCTTGTTAGCTGTTGTTATTTAGGCCTTGTTCTTATTGCCAAGTTTCTTCATGTTTATTTTTTGCTTAAAAGAGGAGGTTCTTTCTGGCTTCATAATATATACATGCATATATATTCAAATAGATGATAGATAGCAGCTCAGTGAAGTTGTATGCAAACGATTTATAGCTTAAGGCATGGATTCATCCCATGGAGGTGCCATATGTTTCAAGGGGAATATGTGCTTTTTGAGGAGTATATATTTTCGTTGTCCGGCCAATCATTGATTGTGAGAAGTTTGAAGTGTAGTCTATCTGATCAAGTCAGTTACTAGTTCATGCTTAGGTTGCTTAAAATATGAGAGCTCTATTAGATAGTCTTGGAAAAGCATTGAACTCTCACAATTGAATTTTGTAGCAAAAAGAAGGGGAAGATTTCTTTTCCATTTTTAAATTGTAAACTGGTCTTAAAATCGATTAAGAAGGTTATTGAAATATTATGTTATGATCAATCATAAAATTTCATTCTGTTTTTCTTAAACATGCCTTGGAAACCCTTAAGAATATCAATAACGCTATTTGTAATTTGTTGCCAAGCAAATTACTTACACGTGAAATCCTGTTGTTTTTTATTTATTTATAAATATAGACCTTGGTCCTTGAAAAACTTTCCTTCCAAAACTCTAAAAATTCCAACTCTTAATACATTAATTTTAGAGGAATCTTCATGTCACTCCAAAATTGTACCTGGTGTACCTCTTATGTTTTTATGATGACAAACTTATCCTTTTTCTTATTTGTTTTTATGATGACAAACTTATCCTTTTTCTTATTTTACCTTTCAAATTTTCACATAGGAGTAAAAAATGTTCTCTATAAGAAGTATAAACAAAATAAATGATAGTTGTTTTAAAATATTTGGTACAAAAATTTGGTGAAATTGAATTTTTATGTATTTTATTGGACATTTAAAAATTTGATATGAAGTTTTACCGGATTTTTTTTCAAATATTCGAAAATCCATTGAAGTTTTACAGGATTTTATTCAAATATTCGAAAATCCATTGAAGTTTTACAGGATTTTATTCAAATATCCGAAAACTTGTTAATGTTTTACTGGTTTATTGTCAAATATTTGGAATTTTTATGTCGTTTTATTGGAACTTTTTAAAAATTCGAAAATTCCTAAATATTATGCCAATTTTTTTTGAAAAATCTAGAAATACCTTGAATTTTGTGTACTTTTGGAAAACATTCGGGATTTTTTGGGGTTTTGCCGGGTTTTTTTTTTTCAAAAGTCTGAAATATGTATAGTTTTTGACGTTGTTTTTATCAGAGATTTTGAAAAAAAAATCAAAAAACGCGTTGTATGTAGGTTTTTTTTGGAAAGTTTGGTATATAGGATTTTTTGCATAGACAAAAAAAAAAAACGGTAATTTAGTATGCTCCAATTGTGTGGTCCTGTTTCTAATGGTTACCAAGTGGATTTCACTCAATTTTTCACTATTGCTGTGATATGTTTTACATAAATGTTTACTTTTTACATAATTGTGGAGTCCTTATTTTTTTTATATCTCATACATTGATAATTTATTTTGTATATGATGTAAATGTCAAATATTCCTCTCTTGGACTGACGTTTTGGCATGGACATTGTTCGTTGGTAAATAACATGGTATTATTGTTGTTACTATTTGTTCCAATATAAATGAGATGAGAGAGAGGAAAGATAAATTGATTATGGGTTGTGAGAGAGGAGGAAATTACAAGAAAAATGATGTGGTTGTAGAAAAATTATACTGTGAAAGTGAAATGTTCATTTATGTTGAGATCTGTGCCAAGTGGAAGCGGCTTGAAGGTTACACTCAAGAATGAGTTTCACAATCATATGCTAGCTAAAGACTTAAATGAGAATGACGTATTATGTAGTTTAAAAGACCATGAAAGAAAGTATGTGAATAACATGACCAAATATAATATGGCTCCCGAATACATAGTTGCTTGAAAGATAACGATCCAGAAAATCTAGAGTGTTACCGAGGTCTACAAGGCTAGGTCTACATACAATGCGAGCAAGACATGATCGTTGATTGAGATGCAATATCTAATGAGTCTTATTCATGAAGATAAATACATGTATTGGACAAGAAACATGGACTCTTTCAATGTTATTGTTGTTATCTTTGGGAAGCACCCTGATTTAGTGAAGTTGTTGAACATGTTTCATCTTGTGTTGATTTTTATTGAACATATAAAACAAACAGGTACTTCTTATGCAAGATGCTTCTATTTTAATTTATTTGTTTTGAAAATTATTGGGGGTCATTGATGATTTAATATACGTACAACACAAACAAGTACCAACTACCACTACTTGAGATTGTTGGTGTTACATCTACAAAGTTGACATTGTCTATTGGTTTTGCATATTTGAAACATGAAAGGGAGGAAAAATTCATGTGGGCACTTGAAAAGCTAAAAGAGTTATTCGCTTATGAAAGTTGCTACCAAATATTTTGGTTACTGATCGTGAATTGATATTAATGAATGTTGTGGAAGTAGTGTTTTCAAACTCAACTCATTTATTGTGTCTGATCCATATTTCAAAAAATATTAGTATGAAGTGTAAGAAATATGTCAAATCACATAGGCATGAACATGTTATGGATATGTGGAACAACATCATATATTCGAATATCGTGACTGATTTTGTGGTACACCTAAAGCATTTCGAAGTTGTATGTGCTAATATTCCAAAATTCGTTCAGTATGTGCATGAAACTTGGTTGACACTACTATATAAAGAAAGATTTGTTATTATTTGAATGATTAGAACCACTCATATAGGAAACACAACAACCAACAAGTACATTAATGTTAATAAGAATATAGTTACATTAGTAATTATCAAATAATAACATTTTGTTCTGTTTATGTTTTTTAGGGTTGAATCTGCTCATTGGAGACTAAAAAATATAATGTCAAGTAGTAGGGGTGATTTATGTAGAAGTTGGGATGTTGTTAACACAATGTTCAAGCTGCAATTAGGTTCAAATAAAATCTCATTTCAGAAAAGTGTGTGCAACATTGAACAATGATATAACACTCTATTTTACTTCAGATAACACGACTTTGTTTTAAGACAATGCATATAACAACAATGAAAAGGAGCTATAAAGGATAAAATTGGTTAGTTGTGACAAAATAACATGTAATTGCTTCATTAAATCAACCTATGAATTACCTTGTGCGTGTGAAATTGCAGGGTGTCAAATACAATGAGAGATTATTCTGTTAGACTCAATACATATATTTTTTAAAAAATTATTTATTGAAGAGCATGAGGTCATTGAAGAAGATAATGGTACACAACTGGGTTTAGAAGAAGAGTGTGAAGAGCTAAAGAAGTATTTTGGTACATTGGATATTATAGGCCAAAGGACAATGAAGAATAAAGTGCAAGAACTAACACATTCATCCACAACTTCTATGTGTCCACCACCAGTTAAGTACAAGTCAAATAAGGGAAATAAGAAGAATAAAAAAGGTAAAGAGTGTGATGCGCATCGTGATCCTTCACAGTGGAAGTAACTAAGGGCTCGCGGGAAAGTCAGAGTACGAAGAAATCATGTACAAAATCAAGTGAAAGTCAACAACGTAGTTTGTCTTCAAAACTAAATTATTTGTCTGAGTTTCTTGTTTTCTTGCATCAATACACTAATGACATTGTTGATGTGGGAGACGATACAAATTATGGGTTTTGGGCTATTGCAACTTTACTTGGATGGGACAAAAAGTCTTGGCCTTTGATTCAAACACATTTAGATACTGAAAGTTATCAATCTCATCAATTGTATTCCAATTTGTTCTATGACACGGTGCCAGAAGTTAGGAGTGCATTGTGGGTTGATGCTTTGGTGTGCATGGTCGTGAGAAGTGGATGACTATTCCCGATATGGATTATCCTATTGCTTCTAGATACAATGTTATATTGGTCTCGTTGTCCAGGAACCTTAACATCACACATTCTTCCCATTAACGATAGCTTCATGCATAACGTTAAGTAGACACAAACTGATTGCAATAGGTTTTGTTAGCAACAATAATTGGGTGCAGGTGAAGTTGAAACCCAATTGTCCTTTACCTCCCGTCACATGCTGATGGAGATAGAATTTAGTGAAGTTTCAAAAACATGGGAATCAACATATGTGAGTTGTATTAAGCATTGGAAAGAAATTGTTAGGAAGTTGACATAATTTATTTTGTAATGAAAAAATTATAATACTTTTGTATCATAGGTATATGTTTTATCCGCTTAACTTGTTAAAAAAAAACTTTTCAAAAATTTCAAATTTTAAAATTTTTTGGTGCATATCATATTTTTTAAAGTATTTGATAGTTTTATTTTGTTTCTAGTTTTTTTTCTCTTTCAAATATCTAGTAACTCCTTTCCGAATTTTTCAAAAAAAATTCAAAAAACTTTTTTTATCGGCAATTTTGAAAATGTCCGACATTTCTGCATTCTTTTGCAAAATATTTGATAATTTTTTAATAAATCTAATAATTCTACTTCCAAACGAGAAATTTTTGCAAATTTTTAATAACTGCATGAAAAATCTTAAATTTAACAATTTTTTAAAATCCAATAATTTATAACAAGTCGAAAGCTATTCACAGCCTCGTAGAAAATGTTAGGTACAATTTAAGAATGGTAGGAGATTCATCATAATTTTAGAGTTTCTGATAATTTATGTTTTAGAGTAGCACCTGATCTGACCTGATCAGAAGGGGATCACGGGCTGGCCACACTCTGTTGGACTGCTACCTGTTCACCGGTGATGAAGAGGAGAAGGGGGGTGTACCTGCAAGAC